TGAAGTCACAATTTCATTATAATTTGTTCTTAAACTTTTAATTGATCCGACACAATTTTCAAGCAATTCACAAGCTTGATGAAGAGTAGTATTTGGGGACTGTAATAATTTAGAAACAGTGTATAACGGTCTTAAAATATTTTCCCAAATTATTAACAGTAAAATAAATTCAAAAGATTCAATTTTATTTTTTATCCCAATGCTTTTTGTTCTTTCTTCTGTTTTTTGACTGGTCAAGGAAATGTTAGTTAATGATTTTAAAACATCAATGTATCTATCTTTTAAAGCATACACTGCATCATGTCTTGCCTCCCATCTAGTAACACATACTTTTTTTAAAACTTTCTTTTTCATTATGTTTGCTACATTGTCACCAAATGTTAAAGAAGCCCATCGTGGTCCACTTTTACTAAAAAAAATAAATATTTCTTGGACAGTATCAAAAAATGATGAAACTTTTGTTGTACTTCTTAGTTCTTGCTACATCAGAAAGTACCAAATTCAGATTATGGGCATTGCAATGAATGTATGTAGCATTGGGAACAATATCCAAAATTCTTTTTTTTACTCCATTGTGTATTCCACTCATTACTGATGCCCCATCAAAACCCTGTCCACAACACTTATTTATATCAATACCAAACTTAATTAAAGTTTCGAGTATTAAATTAACATGGTCTTTAGCAGCATGTTCATGTAAAGGAAAAAAACCTAAAAATGATTCCTTAATATCTATTTTTTGTAGTTTGTAATTTATACTAGTATATCTTATTATCACACTAACTTGATCCACTTTACAAATATCTTGAGTAGAATCAATAATAAGTGCAAAACATGGTGCTTCTCTAATTTCTTGACAAATTATATTTTGTACATTTGTTGCAAATAAATCAATTACTTCATTTTGTACACTCCAACTCAAATATTTGACCTTATTTTCTTCAACAGTTAAAAGTGTACTCAAAACTGGATCAAATTCAGCGAGAAGTCGTACTGTTCTTAAGAAATTACCTTCACTTGCTTTTTCTCCTTTTCCTTCATTTCCTCGTAATGCTGTATTGCCAGCAGTAAGAAAAAGTATAATTTTTATTATTCTAGTAAGCACATCTCTCCAAAACTTGGCTTCTACAGAAATTTGTTTTTCAAGATTTACATCTATAGTTTGATTCTTAATCCATATAGTC